CGAGAGACTGAGTCAGGCTTGTGCATTCAGTCTTCGTGGATGGAGGCCTCGGGATTTTCCACGCCAAGGGTTTGAGACCCTATAAGGCATGGCACATTCGTAAATTCAGTGACTCTCTTGCACTCGGTTTCTTGCCTTTAACCGTCATGTTTCATTTCATCCTGATCAGTTAAACGCACTATTTTCAATTTTCTATTAACGTTTCGTTATATTTGCGTTCAACCTCATTTTCGTACTATGCCTTTGTTAGGCTTGTAATGTGAGTCGTGAAAACCGTTATCAATAGGTATCAACTTGGACTTACAAGGTTCCGTTAAACAATTAGAGCTACGTTATACCCACCGCGCTATAAGTTGTTTACGTATGTACGTGGAAAGGGCAGTTTCTCTGGACTTATATATGAAAAACACAAACCATGCAGCAGCCAATCTCATGATTCCCTTGGGTAAGCGCTATCTAGCATTGGTTCGGTTAGTTCTTCTGCAGCTGGCTAAAGCAGTAGCTTCATTTTTAAGTACTAATAAGATTTATTGGGTTTTGTGGGGATTGATCGCAGTTACACTCATGCAGACAGCCACCACACATCCAGCAAAGCGCTAAACTGTCTTCCCGTCCTACAGAGACTCGTCAGTAGCGCACACACAACGAATCCTGCCGGATTTGAACCGGTGACATTAGGATAGTGTTGCAAGTTTCACTATCTTCATGTTTCTACTGAGTAGGCTAGCACTATATAGGCTGTTTGCATTTCCGCCAGATAAGCACAAATTCACTCCATAAGATGTTTTCAGTGCAAACCTCGTGACATATATCCGTTTCTTATTAAACATGCCGTTTATCTCCTATACTTGTTCAGCTTCGTCTTTTGCGAGCCGGCGACTTATGCCACTGAGTTATGGATGACGGCAGCGGACCCCGATCACTGATTTCTAACTGCGATATAGCGCGGCTCATCCTCCACTGTCATGCACGTTATGAACGTGCAGAGGGCAGGATTGGCCCGCCGAGCAACGACTTCCTTTGCGGCCTTTTGCGGTCGGCAACAGTCGAACGTAGCTCAGTGGCATAAGTCGCTGGCTAGCAAGGATAAGGTGGAAGGTTCGAATCCGGCAGGATTATACGTGTGTGTGCTACTGACGAGTCCCAATGGGACGAAACGGCCTTCTACCGCGGTCCTGGCTGCGTGGTGGCTGTCTGCTTGAGCCTAGCTGCGACGAACCTTCACGAACCATTAGCTTCATGTTCGAACTCACTGCAGCTACATAGTGTGAATCTAACACCTTTTATGTCATGGAACTGGTTTAGTTCTAAGTGGCTGACATTGCTGACGAGGTTTTAGCTGCGAAAACTGCACTTCGTACCTTATTTGATTCAGTCATGTTTGCGGGCTTCTCAAATTATGCATCCAGCATGTACATGTAAATGTCAGCGCTACAGTTGAAAGTGCGGTTCCCAACATTCCAAAGTTGGGGCCTGCTTTCACTTTAGTATATAACGGGTGCACGGCTTTACTAATAACGGAGTACGGAAAATCCGGGACGAATTTTACTCTCTAGTAGCGGTTTGCTTATGACTATGTTTAGGGATCTCGTACGGAACTCGTCCAGTGATTTGAGAAACAGCGCCGATCCAAGGATAGTCCTATGAGGACCAGTGGACAGAATTTAACAGTATTCAACTTTCAATGCGATTCGTGTGCTTGGTTTGAAGAAAGAATTAGTTCCACGTTACCAATACATCATTCCATTTGAGGCTATACAAAACACAGATCATCCAGTTGACCTTCTATTCGATTTGGTTAACCGACCTACTTCCTTGAGCATGCTATTGCAGTGTAGCGTCAGTAGTGGACTTGCTCATGTATTCATTCTGGCTAACTTTATAACACCTTCTAAGTACATGATTGTCTGTTTGCGTTGCATGATCTCAGATAATTTTCTGCCATATTGCGGTTCATACTTATGGTAATTTTGGCCAACATAAATAGATCCATCGTTCTGTGACTCGTCAGCTGATGTCCGATAAGTGGGACAGCATAACCGAAGGTTTGCTCATTGATCAGATAATTCTAGACTGAGTTAACGAAATCTACGTGGCTGATTGTATGACAATAATTGCTTACTTGCATCCAGGTGCTTTCATACCACTTATAGATAGCCAGAAACCGCGGTATACAGTTCAACTTCTTATTCTTAAGGGATATCGTGTTTTATCCTGACTGTACTTGAAGGCTGAATGAGAGCATCCGTGTGCAATCATGAAGCTTGCATACTTTGGTTATGGATTTTCCACATTATTTTTAACGGAATTTTTATCTTCTTCACGAACCTGACTAAAGTTTTGGAGTGGTTTTATCTGAGATACTAAGAACAATGTTATATTTAGCACTCTGGACGCATCATTGAGTTTCTGAATGTACTGAGCACGTAGAAGATTATCTATTCGTTGTTAGGACTTTAACCTCAACAGTCTGGCATACTGAGAGCAAATCTAACCAGCTCACGAATTCCACATGCTACTCAGATTAATAAAGCTGTAACGTGTTTGCGATACCTACATGTTTCTACTGAGTAGGCCAACAGTATGTAGGATGTTCGCATTTCCGCCATAAAACCAAAAAGTCACTCTATACACTGTGTTCATTGCAAACCTCGTGACATATTTTGCTTTCTTATTAAGCGCGCCGTTTGTTTTCTACGGTTGTTCACCTCCGTCTTCTTCCGAAACAGCCAGGCAACGCATCTCCAGCTGCAATCTATTGCATGAATGCGAAATGTTTAAATAATCACATGAAATCGGATAGACATTCAAGTGATCGACACGGATCATTTGCACGCGATTAGCCCTGCGGCAACTGAAACAACGCGTTCGCACGTTTACCAATGGCAGCGCGCTAGTTGTATCCTTGGGCGTACGACAGCTTCATAATGACACGATCTACAGATAGCTCATGGACTCTTTGTAGCAGAACGAACAAGCAATCAATAGTACTTGACAAAGCTCAAGGTCATTCACTGCCAGCCACGTAATTGTACTTGCCTACTACCCAAGTCGCACATGTTTCTTGATAAAGCGCATTTATACACGAACACGTTTTCTAATGCGCACTTGCTTGTAGAATCTGTCGGGTATTGAGTCGCATCAAATTTGTCAAATGGTTGACCAAATTTTAGTCCATTACCAAACGAATTGAAACAAATAAACACGAGAGTAAAGCGCCAATATTGAGCTATTTCGCCACCGACAATAAGCTGTGTGCATAGCAATACCTCATTGCTCCCTGGGTACATTACATTGGCAATGAGCCCGTCGTACCACCTGAAAACATCCATCTGGAACATTCTGGGGATCACGCATCGGTCTATCTAGTAACCTTTGCGCCTGAGTGGGATGAATTTGTCCAACAAAGACTTACATACGACGCCCACTCGACTGGTGGTTCAAAGACTTAACGCAAACACAATTATAAAAATGGCAATGCCGCTGCTCCAGTCAGAACTCAAGTGCAGTGTAATGGGGGATAGTTGGGAATGAAATATTACAACCTAAGCTACTGCTAGATCAAAATGACAGAAGGTGACCGAGGATGCCACCCCATACACAAATGCATCGATATTCCATTACAAAGACATCTAATCCATATTCACAATAATCGTGTGATCAAGCCCTTTCACACGATTCGTCCGTGTTCTTGACCAGTGGCACCACAGCGATCACTATTCCAGGAATCGTGGCTTTCCGCAAAGTACCCCAACGCTGACGACAAGTATTCCCGAAGCTAATTAACTAGTCACGATTCATAAGCGTACTCAAAGGTTGCCCAAAAACATTTTAAGAATGCAGAATCATCGATTCATCATTTCTATAGATCCTTCCGCCATTTCCAGCCGAACAGGCGGTTTCCATGATCAGTAGGTCGACAGTATGTCCCTCGGAGACCAGCTGCAATGAGCTAGTAACAGCGAAATTTACCTGTCGACGGTGATTTTTACCACAATGTACCGTTATTCTATCTAACCAGCGTATCCGACTAATCAGAGTGGTGATCCTAGTATGCAAGTTTTAGTGGTTACCCTATCTTCCAGGTTTAGGTCCGGATCAAAACTTTTTCACAGAAATATCCCGTGTTAAATCCCACATGAGCCACGTCTTTTAACACCGATACGCGTACTTATTTACGCCTGTGTAGCAATGTCGCTTTGCAGAAAATTTTATTTCGCACTTTTGCTTGGGATCCTGAATAATCACTATAATTTCAATAATTATTGATACATTGTGCCCGACAATTCATCAATGCTTGTAATTTAGTGATCCTACCCAACGATGCGTGCTTCGAACATTTCGGGAAAAAACATTTATTTATTTACTATTATTCAGCCTCGGCTATATAACTATCAATTCATTGTATTCCCAAAGAGAATGCATAGCAGTGATACATGTGTCGGATTTTCAGGTGTGACGTCTTGTCTAGTAGGATAGAATATTTATTATGGGTTTTACAAAATCCAATAGTATGATCAGAATTCAGGGTAAGCAAACATATTTGATAATTCCTCTTCAAGGTTATACAGTTATATGTAAATCAAAATGTACAGGCAGACATTACAAGTTGTTACTCCTAGAGCGATTTAATTGGATGCTAACAGAACTGTATGTTAAATCAAGACAATCGACCGTGTGTGACCTCGTGGGTCAGAGGTCACCGGCCGTTTGAGCCAAGGTAGACCCAAACCCTTAGCTAGCTTCTTCTGAACACATAGTTCGGGTTTATACAACCGGATCGCGATTGTTTCATTGGTTTCTAGTAGTCACTCGCGGACGTATTTTGAGCAGTTCTTCGGGGCTTGATAGATAATTTTGAAAACATCAGTGAACTTTTGGTGTGCCTTGAATCGGATAGATGCGCGGCCATTGAAGAATTGGCTGCTTTTCCGCTTCAACTTCTAAGCCCGACTGGGTGGTGTTTCTTCATTCTGGCAGATAGACTCCTTGTCGTACGATCAATGTGTTCTGTTCCACAGGAGCATGAAAATGAGTAGATACACAATGAGTTGGTGTAGACCGGCCTCTTGTCATTTGACTTTAGCTTCACTATCGGAATGCTAGTGAACTGGATTTGATTCTGCGCTGCTGGATAGTTGCGTCTGAGTGTGAACAAAAGACGACGATAGCAGTTCCGTCGCAACCTTACCGCTGTATGGCAGCTTACATTCTACTGTCAAAACTAGAAGCCGTTTCTTCTTATTCTCCATGTTGGCTCTGAAGAAACTCTCAAGATGGCCATTCTGCTTTAACTTTTGATGGTATGATTTACATTAATTACAAAAACATTCAGAAAACAGGATGTTCAACAGTACCGATTAAAGACATTTTAATTCCGGCCGAAATGCGATGATTTTCTATTGCAAGTGGTGATCTGCTAGAAGTCGTTCAGGAATTCAAGTACCTGGGCAGGTATATTAGTACCCGTGGGATTGAAGATGAGGTTACGAACCGTATAGCAAAAGCTTAAGGTGCTTTTGCCAATCTCCGCCACCTGTGGCGCAGACGCGACATTACTCTCACCCTCAAGGGCAGAGTTTACAACGCAGCCGTCCGTTCAACTCTCCTATATGGCTGTGAAACCTGGCCCATCAGGTCGACAGACATAAGGAGGCTCGTCATATTCGATCATCGCTGCCTTCGCAGCTTAGCTCATGTTTGGTTGGAGCACCGCTTGAGCAATGAGCGTGTTCGGCGTCGCGTATTTGGTGCAGGAGAGCGAGTGAACTGCTCAGCACCATTATATCACGCACCAGGCTCCGATGGCTGGGCCATGTGTTGTGCATACCAGCGCACCGCCCTCCGCGACGTGCATTGTTTGCGCGTTGTGGGTGCGGTTGGAAGAAGAGGAGAGGAGGCCAAGTGATGACTTGGTCGAAAGAAATGAAAACCCTCACTTCGAAGGTGGCGTCGGTTGGTGCATCCCGACTGCCTGGCTGGGGTTCTAAGGACGGTGAACACGTTTGGTTGGACACACTTGCTGATATGGCTAGGAGCCGGCCCCAATGACGTTTGTGTTGTGAGTTCCTTTGTCCATCCTCCTCCTGTTTAGCATCCCTCTCCAATCACGATTTCAATCGTTAGGCATAATATGACTTTCTTTTACGGCAGCCAGCTGTTAGCTCCCCGGAACGATGTCCATCCGTTACTGGGTACTCAGCGGGCGTGCCACTGTTTGTTTTTTTTTCTTGCCTTTTGTATTGCGGCACACTAGCTGAGGTGTTTTCCACCTCCAGCTAACGTATAATGATGATGATGATGATTTTATTTATGCCTAATGGAGTATAGTGTTTTTGTCTTCGCGATAAATATCTTCCTGTTTGCAATTTAAATCTTTGATGGCCATAGTATAGAAAGATACGAGGCGTAGAAAAGTGCGCTATCAACTACTTTTGTACACACGTTTTCATTCCCCTTTTGATTCGTATAAGCGGACTTCGTCGAATAATCGTGTTGTCCATGGGAAGCATACACTTGAATGTATGATCGTATTCACTTTAATGGTTACAGTAACTCCTTTTTGCGTGCGTAGAAATAACTAATTGTCATTTTGTTTGCCGTGGGAGCGCAAAGCGCGACGACTGGCAACTGGGTGGCCATCAATCGAGCCACTCTACGATTCCCTTTGTACTGCAAAGCGTTAGTTGCGTATGTTATTTATAAGCTTATACAGAATTGTTAAGTCAAAGCACTACCTGTGTCCTGTTTGTTCAGAATTACAGAAAGAATTTTACGTTTTTATTTTACCTACAAGCCTACTTTGTTTGAGTCGTAGATAAATTGTGGGTATTTCGTCCTTTTTGAGCAGACTGTATTGTGGAAAATAGTGCTTTTACTCACATTTAGGCTGTAATTCAAACTTCTGTGTTACTCTGGCTGCAAAAACCAGTAACGTGGCTCACGTTCACAATCTTCATAACATTTCTGAAATTATTCCTCTACAAATATATCAATGTACATTGTTTCAATATGGACGAAGCAGGCGGCTCAGTTATAAGGCCACTAAAATTGTGCAATTGTCTGCGCATCCTTAAGTTACTGAAACACGAAACACTACAAACTTTTTGACTCACGTTAACCTGCTACTCGGCACCAGATAGAGTTGCACTGGAAGTTGCAAAAGTTGACGTCTTCGCCGAAGCAGAACTGCGCAATTGCCAAAGCACTTTTAGGATGCACACCATGCAGCTGGTAAACGGCAGTCGATAATGACCTACTACATGGTATACTATTTAGGACAGTCCGGTAGGTGCGGAAAGTAAGTCGATCTGCTAATCAATTCGGTTACAATGTACTTGTGATTGACGTTTTAGGTAACTGCAGGCTCTTTCTGCGTCGAAAATATGTGGTAATCGACGCTGGCTGATCACGTGACTGCAAAACGGGCCAGGTAAGAAGGTAACAGTCTAACATATCTTATAACTTGTGAGCGTTATTCCCTGGGTTTAAAAGGACTAGATAATTTGGACTATCTAGAGGTTCCGATGCAGGGCATCAGGACACAAATCAAGATGAATATTTCTTTGTCGCCGAGTTTTTCACAGTTATGCTGCGAGCGATATGATCAGACTTGATTAGAATCAACCACTATGCATGTTACTCCGTGCATAATTAACATACCACTTCAACAAGTAGTGATCGCGATAACACGCATTGCCGTGGTCGCACAGAAAGCGTTAAAAATGTTGCGCATTAAAATGTTGCTGGTCGTATTTAACCGATTGGCCATTACCCTTTGGCCGCATTTGTGAAGTCATTTTTTCTGCGCAGCCACTGCGTATATGATGTTTACTTAATCTCTATCAAAAGTTGGCAAAATTCCGACAGGATTGAAATGAACTACTACCAACATCTTACCATTTTGTATCTTACGGACCAGTCAAACCTTCATCGGAGTTTGTATGGAACGAGAAAAATTAAGCACATACAACCTGTTTTCATGCATTAAAACCGATAACATCACTGAAATGTTCACTTCAATCTACTTTTAACGAAGAATATCAATATCCAGTTGTAAGGAAGCATTTTTCGGCCTCTGCCATGGTCAGACCGGGTTTTGCCACCATTTACATGAGGTGAAGTTTAAACATTTATCTAGTATACATCATTGTTGGAAGCCTACCATTACAAACAGAAGCAGCATGATTATGGAACGCGTTTGACCAATGCACGTCAGTCTGTGTTAATGATGCACTTGCAAGCATAGCAGTGAGTTTAGCCAACCGGAAATACCTCTCAGGAGTAAATGAGACTGCTTCCAATATATCCGTTGTAATGCAGTCATTTTCATGACCGATAATGATAAGGGTGGATACGATATGGTACAGAGGCCACACGGTAGAAAACAGCAAGTGTTTATCAATTACTCTGATATCTGCTGTAGTCATAAAGTTGTAGTACCTGAACCATTAGGCGTAGGTTCTTCTCTTAGTACGTAACGTTATTACATTATCACACATTAATGGCGTGTTTAGTTTTGCGGATACTAACGGCTTGTAACATCTGTGGCTCTATAATTACTAGCTGAAACATAATTCCTTATATCACTGTAAACAGCATGCATTGTTGGGTGCATCACTGCGGGTGCATTCTACATTCTGGGAATGGAGTTAACGGTGATGTACATCTAAAACAAACTACGCGCAAAACCGACCCTCAGACATGACTCATGAATTAGATGAGAGGTGCTTTGCTGTGATAGGTCTAAGTACTAGGGCAAAGCGAGAGAAAAATGTTTATTCACTGAACGCTTTCACCTACGGCTTAGTTCGGGAATGCGGGGGGCCGTAGATTGTTAATGGTCCCAGTATTTTGTTCGTATTAGTATACCTTCACTCTGAATTTCGTGGTAACGTAAACAGGCTAGATTCGAGCACATTGTTTCACATGTTCCATGAACGCTGCTACGGCTAGTAAATGATACATTGCACCTGCTCGAGCTGTAATTATATTTCATCAATCGAGTGCTTAGCTTAAACCCATCTCTAATGATTTGGATGGGTAAAACGTCCCCAGATTGTCCGTCCATGGATATAACATCGAAAATTTTAAATTCTTTGTTAGGCACACCAACAATACACCGTACTTTATCACAAACTATTGCAACGAACGCAGCGAAAGTAGTTAAACCTGACCATAAGATGTTAATAGACTAACGTCTTAATCTCTAAATCAGAGCATACTTAGTGCTAACAGATGCGTGTCCTTACAGAACCCATAAATGTGCTTCACCATATTTAGGTTTGTAGTCCGACTAGTTTCGCGACGTAAACGACTTGTGTTTGAGATTAGAGAGGTTGTTGTTCTTTTGTGCTTTTGATCATCTGATAATTCCCAATAACCTCCGCAGGTTAATCGACAGTCTTGTATCGCAGCCATTTAATTTACCGCATAAAATTTGCATACAACTTGACATAAATAATTTTTTATTTAGGCATAGAGTTCGCTCAGTTTGAATTACTCTTCTCTTATGTCTCAGATAAGAGGCAGTAATACCATAGACAAGGTCTATGTCGTTTCCAACCTTTGGACTTAGGGATCACCATGATGTCTTGTAATCTGAGCTCGCGTGTTCGAGCCTACATAAGGACCGGGCGACCCTCGAAGTATCTTTATCCCAAGTGTGACTGGTGGTGGTTGCGCGGCAGTGAAGCGACGTTCCTGCGTACTACCGTACTGCAAAAGTTTAGTATTTTTCTCATCGCCTGAAATTTAGCATTATCGACGGTATTTAATGAAAAACATCCATTCCAGCGGGTGCGATGTGTACTTCTTCACGGATAGTAACGTAGTCCGGTTGGTAGGACTGTGCACTCCGTACTCATCAAAATTGATATCTAACAGAATATTGCTTTAACAGAAACCAATATATTGCCTTACCATATGTCCAGAAATCAACTGTTTCTGTGTTCAACACTGAATATCTCAGTTGCATCCATACAATTGTTCTGTAACATATTATGTGCATACCAACTGTACAGGTAACTTCCGTGAATGCTTATTGAATGTTTGTGACGATAAATCCGTTCGTCTTTGTCTGCATCGATTGGGGTCGACCAAATATTCGTCTACATAATGAGTAAGCAATCTTTGTATTCGTCTTTCTTGTTGCTTGTGAAATGGCGCCATCTAATGTGCTTTAGTATGAAACATAACTAATGCATGTACGTACAAGCACAGCCAAGGAAAAATTCTTGACAATACCAGTGCCTAGCATTGTTGGTATGTAACAGGCTTGGATACAGGCGTTAACGGGGCATAATCACTTAATTTTCACACATGAAAGCAATCAGTAGGGAACACTTTCGTTGTTGTGCCGCAACATAATAGCTTGATCTTAAAAGAAAGAAAAGGTCGAAAAGGGAAAACATGGCGAAACAAGAAATACACTGTTGTACATCAATATTTAGACCATGGTGGGAAAGGGAGGCTTAGCAATGGTGAAAGGATAATGCGAATCAGAACACAAAGGCGGTCGAACTCTGCGCCTGCTCATGAAAACAGTTGTCTCCAAACAAATATGCTCATTGTCTTCTAAAGTAAAGACAGCTAACTTGACGTTGGAACTCATGTTCCTAACGACACCATCTATCTCGGGTAGTGAGGTATTTTAATGGGCGCTAAGATCAGTACCAGAATTTCGTTGGTTTTGCGAGAATGCAATGCAAATTTACGAGGATGCAACGTGTGGGCGGCAAACATAGATAAACAATTGCTCTCCAGCGTTATCAACTGCGTCAGCTACAAAAGTAGCGGAACTATTGTTACCCTGCCACCTAACCGAACGGATTCAGTAGGTCACATTGTCAAGAAAGACCTACAGACAAATTTCGGTCAGGTCAGTATCCAAAAACGAAAATATGCTCTCGCCTAAGGAGCGCCTTGTTTCTCGTACCGGAAAGCAAACCCGCGCCCCTAATACTTCGAATTCTGAGTTGTCTTCCTTGCCTCTGCAAAAGTAACGAAGCAAGCCAAGAGCAACCTTTGTAAGTTCTTGGATCATAGACCTAAAAGTCTACCATAATTCAGGGAAATGATCCGACCAACACTTATGCAGGCCATTTTGGAGGGCCTGGATTACAGAATAAAGTGACTATGCTTTGTCATCAACCTAAGGTCACAAATTATCAGGTGCATCAGTGGTATGACTTCAATCCACTGTCCAGCGAATCAGATCTTTATGAACAAAGGCTCGTGATACAACCCTTTAAGTCAACATCCTTCCTCGGCATGGGCAACCGGGAACCGTCTGCCCAGACAGCTCATATACTCAATTAACCCTTCACGTTTTCCAATCTTTGTCTTTTCTTTCTATATGTTATGAAAATTTACCCATGTTTGATAAGTCGTGTTATATATATATTTATATATATTTATATATAAAGTGTCATAGTATACTTGAGGAATTCATTTGTCACGTCTGTTCACGCATTCGGTTTTCGGCGGTCCAATAAGACTACACCGGCAGTTGCTGGCTTCTTCAATGAGGACTACTAAGCTTGTGGATGACTGTTGACTGACCAGGCACACGGACATTAATTAAAGGCGTCTGTTGCACGGATTGAGAAAAATATAATAATCAGGCGACATGGATCCCCCACCTAATACAGCTAAGGTTGTTAACATCATGCTTGCTACTTAACCGTGAGATTCCGCCAGCTCCGGATCTTTCCCCCAGTTACCGCTTTCCATATATGCAAGTTCTCTTTCTTATAGGCTAATCAAAGCTCTGTGAATATCATCGAACTTTGCAACACTATGGTGTGCTGGAACCAAGCGTTGCCTGCGCATTCAGCACACTCAGTCGTTAGACCATTTGTGGTGAGTGCTTTCACCACCCTTTTCCAAAATCACCCTAGCCCCAAAGCATCGCGGTCATCGTACCAAATGAAATAGCAGTGCTGGTCTATTTTGCACTTACGGTGTGCGTTCTGTCAAATAAAACCCTATCGTCTGTCGTGTGAATAGAAAAGTAACTAAAATAGATTATCACACCTAACCTACAGTTCAAGTCAGTTGGTGCAATAACTAAATTCACACGGCCTCAGAGTAAAATACTAGTTAAATGTAAGCAGTTTCCTAGTTCATTTTGGTTCAGCGTACACCTCAGTTCGTGGGATCATTGTCTAGGCTTTATTTTCTTTGCA